TAGAAGTAATTACTACTAAGTTAAGAGTAGTTAATTAGTATTTTTCTTTAATAAACACATATATTTTATCTCATATCATATCTTATTTTCTTCTTGTTCTATTGAGAAAGTATTTTGTTAAAAGTAAATTCATATATATTATCTTATTGAGAAGATAATTATATTTTTGTTATAAATAAAATACATATAAATTATCTTATTGAGAAGATAATTATATTTTCATTAGAAGTAAATCTTGCACATATCATCTTATTAAAAAGATAATCAGTTATATAATTTCTTGAAGTTATAAAAATAAATAACTGTTGTGAATACAGTTACTATTATCATTTTAAAATAATTACATACGCATAATCTTAAAATGGTAATAATATATATACTATTATTATTAGGTGAGAATAATATATATAATTCTATCAAAAAAAGATTCTTTATTTTTATGTTTAATACTTTAACAAATACATATTAAACTTTATTATTATCAATTATCATTACTATTATTCTCATCATCATTCTTTACAATTATATCTTCAAATAAATAATCAGTTTTTCTCCTTATCAAATCCATTAATGATTGGTTTTTCATTGATACTATATCACTTATCAATAAACCTAATGAAAAGTAAGAGGATGAATATAGGCAAGAGTGAGAATAGAGATCAAGCAAAAGTGAAAGACCAAGTGGATAAGTGATATGCGAGAGTGATATTTGACTCCTGATATCTGTATCTTTAAATAACTTGAACTCTTAGAATTACAAGAATTCAAATGAGATGATCTATTGACTCGACAACTCAGAATTAGAGACTTGAGCAGTTTCTCATTTAATTACCTTCTTCCAAATATTTTATGAATATTCAAATCATCATATTTGAGCAAAGAAACTAATATAATCTCTTGCAATTTTACAAAATTATTCAATTGAAAAACAGAATATTATTCTTTATTTGAATATATACATTTTAATATCCTATTACTAATAGTCTCTTACAGTTGTAACCCAACCAACCCAACCAACCCATCCAACTCACCCAATCCGAAACCTAATAATCACTTCCAATAACTTGCAACTCACCTTTATATATAGTCTGTAACCACTTTTGATAGTTTATAATTACATCAGTAGTTCATAACTACACTAACTGCTTTCCAAATTGGTGAGAAGGGAAGCTCTATAATGTTGCCATTATTATACGTTATAACATGATGAACAATCTTTGCAGACAAGATTATTCTCAGCTTTATTTTTTATCCCCTTTCAAACTTGCACATAAGAAAGCACTCGTCTTACTGAACTGTAGCATAGCATCGCATGAGTACAGTTTCTGTTTAGGAACCTTTAAAAAAACGAATAAAGAAGGCTGCTACTGTAATTTACATATAAATAATGAGATGTCGATCTCTCAAATTATATAGAAGAAAATTTACTTCACAGATCTGCGTGACAAATCGTGTAACTGATAGTATGTGTTGATGCATACGTGCCAACACGTGCAACTGGGGAGATACATGTATTTATTCACTATAACTATAATTTGTAAAGAATACAATAAGTGAAATTTCATTTTGTATTTATTTCAAATCAAAGGTACTCGGGTTTTTTTATAATATACAAAATCACATAATTTATTATACAAAGAGCTGAATTTTTAATATTAATGCACACACATTAAATATTTCGTTATTAATTATTTCCATACCTGTAATCCCATTTTCATAACGTCATGCCTTGCTTGCAAATTTTCCTGTCAATCTCAGCAAGTAAATCAATAGAAATATTTAGCTAGTGATATTCTATTATTTTATCGTTTCAATTTTAAAGTCCCATAATATTTTTATTTTATAGATGACACGCACCATATAAATCCAATTGTTTATACATAAATTCTTAATTCTGCCCAGAACACCTACAAAATCATTATCTACAGTGTCATGTATTGATTCAATAAATAATAATATATAAAAGATTCCTTTTGACACGAGATTTTATATATTATCATAACAATCGATATTAGCTTGAGTATTAGCAAAATTCTTTAATACACGAACAATATGTATTATGATAATAGCGGTGGTGTGGGAAAGGAAGGACGAGCACCGTAGAACATTGAAAGTGCTTGAACATACTGTTGGACGGACAATTACAAAATGTTCTATGTTAGTTCATCAAAAAGATTAAACCCTGAACATATTCTCAACTAAAAAGCGTAGCGATTCAGTTAAATCAACCAGAAAAAAAATTTATCACACAAACATACATGTAGACAACAATACGAGCATGCATCTCAAGTATACAAACTTCAAAAACAAGTACATGTATAAAAATGGAAATAACTTGTATGCATGCACGCATGACTATTCACAATAATAAGATTTTGGCATGGAAATAACTTGTATGCATGCACGCATGACTATTCATTAGGCTATGTAATAATAAGGTTTTGGCGTGGGAATGCAACTATTGCGATATTTACAAATTAGTCATATGGCGGCGATATGTGTGAACTTTATCATACGCTTTTCTCAAACGTATATAAGAGAGTGGGCACATTATTTTTACTGTATCGTGTATGAGAGAGTTTTAAAAAATGCGTGTACCAGGGACAGATTGGCTTAAAAAAAATAATAAAACTCAAAATCTTCAGGATAATGAATTAACGCAAAATGAGGAAGAATTTCAATATCCCGACGTTAAACAAAAAAAGATAACTTCTGGTAATCGGTCAGATATTGACATTTCCGATGGCGAAACTGAAGAACAAGCCTTCTTTATTCCTGAAAAAACTGAAGATGCGAATAATACAGCTCACTTGTCACTTAACGAAAATAGTAAAGTAGCTCAAGATCTGGGGTTTTCATATATTCACGATGATGAAAAAGAAAATTCGGTAACTTCCGAGTTTGTTTCGGAAATGGACCATTTTCTCGATAGCAAAGTTGGAGATTCGTATCATTCAGTTCCCTTTACAGCAGAACAAACTGGGAGCGTGAGAAATATCGCCGTTCTTCCCTCCTCGCTTGAGCATAATCAGAGTCCATCTGATCAACTCGAAGTGAATACAAAGAGTAATGATCAAAGTACTTATATTACAACTTCCTCGAGAAAAAGACGTGAGGAAAAACAGAATATAATTGTTAATAATGAAGGTTCGTTTGAAAATATAAAAAATTCACAACGAAAAATGAGATTTATGCTAATACTCAGCAATTTTCTGCAGATCGTAATTTATCTCCATTGGGGGAAAATCGGGAAAAAAAGATGACAATCTCCATTAAACAAAATTCCGCGGATCACAAACAAAAATCCAATAAAAGTCTCTTAGACCAGTCAAAAGATGTCGCTTATTCGAATACCCGTCTTGATCGGTCCTTGAAAGGAAATCAAAGGGAAAATTCAAAGGAAACCAAAAAAGAAAATTTGTCAAATCCTATTACAAGCTTTGAATATCCACGTCAAGACAACTCCTTTTCGAATACTCGAGATGATCATCAATATGGGCAAGATTATTCAACATATATTCATCAATTTCCGCCAGTAGCAAAAAATACGAAGGAAGTTTTAGCAGATTTTAAGCCTCAGCAAAAACATAATTTGAATTCGCGTACTAATCTTAATCGTCCATACGATCATTCATCTGATCATAATACTTTTCCACAATTGACTAAAAGCTGGGGAGAGAAATCTCAAAAATGGAATAATCAAGGTTCATTCAATGAATATCAACGTGTTGCTACTAATCCCAATGTTCGAGATAATAATAATCAGTTCAACGGTCGTCATGATTTAGTTACTGATTTACCACCAACGGAACAAGAGCCTCTTGATCATTCATATAATTATGGTACTTTACCTCAAGTAACTAGAAATCAGGAAGAGAAATCTAAAGAAAACAATAATCAAATCTTATCCGAGTTCACTAAAAATAGTTCTAAAAGAATGCGTCAAGATTTGGTTACTGATTTACCACCAATGAAACGAGAGCCACTTAATCATACATATGATTATTCATCTGATCCCGACACTTTACCTCAAGTAACTAGAAATCGGGAAGAAAAATCTAACGAAATCAACAAACAAACTTCATCCGAGTTCACTAAAAGAATTCGTCAAGATTTGGTTACTGATTTACCACCAATGAAACAAGAGCAACTTAATCGTCCGTATGGTTATTCATCTGGTCATGAAACTTCACCTCAAGTAACTAGAAATCGGGAAGAAAAATC